TGTTGTTGGGAGAGATCCCATGTGTAGTGCCGACAACCTTGCTGCCGAAGTTGGAAAGGAAGAATTTTACTAAGAGAGAAGTCCTCAACACAACGTCAAAAGGAAAAGGTTCGAGAAGCACTCGTCGATGAGGACATCGACTAAATGGGTGGGGTAGAATGTCGTGGCCATCCCTTTTCTTATATGGCCACAACCGGATACGTATGCCAAGGCCAACCATGTATAGGGCCTAGTGGCAGGGTAGAATAAGCTTGTCCTCTTTTCAAGCATTTCAATGTTTTAGGTAGGGAGTGGGGATATGTCTTAATGTCCCCTGTTCGAGCTTTTCAACGTCTATAGGTAGCATTTCTGTTATTTTGTTTTCGCATATATGTAGGGGGTGGACAGCCGGCAGAGTTTGGGCTGATCCACAGGTAAAGGTACGTGTCTTGTGAACATCATCGAGGGCCGCCCCTACGGCCTAATCGATGGTGTGGGTGAGTCTTCTGTAACCCGATGTTTCTTTTGTTAATAAAATATTTTTCCCTCGGAGAAGTCCGGGGGTTGAGGTGTGCATCCGCTATGCCCCACGGGCTTAAATTATTGGTTGAGGGACCGTGTTGCTACAATGATCTAACGTGATGTTTATTCCTGTTTGATCAGATATACGAGATAAAGGCTGACTTGACTTGGGAAGAGTCCCTTTTCAGGTGCCGCACGGATTACAAACCTAGTTGGAAAAGGTAAGTCCGTGACACAAGGCTACCTATAGGTACCTTATTGAAAAAGTTGATAAAAGGCTCTCCGGGTGGGCGGCAAAAAATTTATCCTTTGCCGGTCATATAACGTTGGCTAAGGCAGTCTTGTAGGCGATTCCAAACTATACCATGCAGTCGACTTGGTTGCCTAAAGGAGTGTGTGAAACCTTGGAGAAACTTATCATAGATTTGTTTGGAAAAACAAAGAAGGTTCGAACAGCCTCACTTTGGTTAAGTGAGACACAGTTAAACTCCCAATTGAAAAATGAGGATTGGGATTTAAGGACCGTGATCGGCAAAATAAAGCTTTTCTTATGAAAATAAGAATGCAAATAGTCGAAGGAGCAGATCTCGTGTTCTTAAGAGCAAATATCATTGGAATGACGATGTTCCAGCTAATATTGATAAACCAAATTGCTCTACATTGTGGAAAGGCCTGAGTTGTTTGTGGGAAGATATAAGGTGTGATTTGGAGAATTAGAGATGGCCAACGGACAGATTTCTGGTACGACACCTGGCTTGACGATTTCGGACCTTTGTTTTCGCGTTGCTTAAATAATACACAACCTGAACCTTTAACGGTTAGTGAAATGGTTACAACTGCTGGTGATTGGGATTGGAGGAGACTAAGCGCTACTGTTCCTGAGCCTATTCCCCATCTAATTGCAGCAATGACCCCTCCCAAACCTTATCTCAGACACGACAGACCTGGATGGCGATGGAATGAGAAACACATCTTCACAGTTAAATCAGCTTACAATATTATCTCATTGCCTATCCAAGATAAAATCCCTAGTATGTGGAAGAACATATGGAAACTCCAAATTCCGCAAAGAATTAAGATGTTTTTCTGGCTTGCTCTACATGGCAAACTGTTAACCAATGGTGAACGGTTCTGTCGCCATTTTGCTACCATGGCTTCATGCCCTCTTTGTCAGAGTGAAGTTGAAGACATGGAGCACGTCCTTCACAAATGCCCTGCTGCATTTGACACCTGGAGAAGAGTGATTAAAGATGAACTGCTTAGCAATTTTATGAGTCTGCCAAATGATGCTTGGCTGCTATCTAATGTGAAAGGCGATGTTGTGTTTCCCAGGAATAAAATCCATAGGGAAGTATTTTCCCCGTTATTTGCTGGAAAATATGGAAGCGCCGGTGTAATTTTGTTTTTCAAACGAATTGGGTTGATAGAGAAGACTTCTTGGTTCATAACTTGAGACTCAAAGATGAGATTGTTAACACTGCGGGTTCGGAACCAGAGAACAGCTTGCTGAGGTGTCCACGATCACGATGGGATAAACCTGCGACAAATTTCATAAAATTTAATACTGATGGAGCGGTGGGTGGTCCGAGAAATATGGCTGCAGCGGCTGGAGTTTTGCGAGACTCCTCTGGCCAGTGGATATTTGGATTCTCTCGGAGCATTGGTATATGCTCTGTCTTGAACGCGGAGCTTTGGGCAATCTATGATGCTTTGATCCATGCTTGGAATTTAGGATTCCGGAATCTAGAAGCTGAAACTGATTGTGTCGAGGCTCTGAAGATGTTATTGATGCCAGTCGAAAGTGATGATCGGAACACTATCGCCGTCTTAATTCGAGAATTGGACAGGAATTGGGAGTTAAAGCTACGACATATTGGCCGAGAAGCCAACAAGGTGGCGGATAAGCTTGATACGAGCGGGACATAAATCCCACATACTAAAAAAAATTAACTGACCCTTATTCCCATATGTAATGGGGTAAAGAGATAAGATAGTAGGTTGCCTCCAACGTGTTGAGAACCGCTTCCGTAAGAGACCTCCGAATTATGAAATGCCCTCTGTGAGACTCGATCTCACGACCCCAAGATTAAAAACCTTGTGCTCTACCAACTGAGCTGGATGGTCATTTCTTAAATCCCACAGACTAACAACAACAACAACAACAATAAAACCCTGATTCCCATATGCAATGGGGTAAGAGGGAGGTAGGGTAGTAGGATGACCCCAACGCCAGGTTGAGAGCAGCTTCCGTGGAAGACCTCCGGCAGTCAGAAAATTAAAAATAAAGATAAGATGCAAATGCGTGTATAAATAAATAAATAAATACATAGATGAACAGTCTTCATATGCAGTCTTGATATGTGCGCCTGTAATGGGGAGTAATCCCTGTAAATAATTCCCTGCAAATAATTCCCTACATAGAAATCTCTGTATATAGACTGAAAATGTAAGACCCAGCTAAATTTAAAAAGAGGAAACATGAATAGAAATGATACACAGAAGTCAATAATAGCAAGCTACGAGAAGGAATAAATTCAAATGAGTTAATTCTTAAACTAAGGCAACACTACTCCGATACTCTAGTTCTAAGCCTTCATACATTTCAATTACAGAAACATGTATAAAGTAGAAGTCATGGAAAGTACTACAAAGATATTAAAAAGAAGACAGAGATGTTACACCCTATGGCTGTGAACCGCACTACTCAACTACCATGGTCTTAAGTCTCTATACTTTCCTATCAGAGGTCATGTCCTCGGTAAGGGTTAATTTCTTCAAATCAGATCTCAAGCAGTCTTCCCACTTCCGTCTTGGTCGTCCTCTGCTTCTGACACCGTCGACTGTAATCGACTCTACCCTCCTGACCGCATCCGACGGTTGTCGCCTAAGGACATGCTCAAACCACCGTAGTCTTCCCTCTCTCAATTTTTCGGATATAGGCACCACCCCCAAGTACATCCTAATAGCAGAGTTAGGTGTCATGTCCCACAGAGTCCTACCACATGTCCATCGAAGCATTCTCATTTCTGCGGCCTCCATCCTCCTTACGTGATCCTTCTTGATTGCCCAACATTCTGATCCATACAGCAGCGCTGGTCTTATTGTCATTCTATAAAATGTTCCCTTTAGTTTTAGAGGCACCTTCTTGTCACACAAAACTCCAGTAGCAGCCCTCCACTTTAGCCATCCCGCCTTTATACGGTGTGTAACGTCTTCATCTACACCCCCATCTTTATGTATCATAGACCCTAGGTACTTGAAACAATCATTTGAGGGGATAATGTGTCCTTCTATGCATACTTCTACATCTTCATCGTTTTGGTTTCCACTGAAGTTTGAACATACATAATTTGTCTTTTCAATATTGATCCTTAGACCTTTTTCTTCCAAAGCAATCTTCCAGGTAGCAAGTCTACTATTCAGCTCAGTTTTTGTTTCAGCAATTAGGACAATGTTGTCAGCGAAAAGCATACACCATGGAACACCGTCTGGTGTCGCACAATAGATGTCGTCCATAATCAAGGCGAAGATGTAAGGGCTAAGAGCCGATCCCTGGTGGAGTCCAATTTCCACCGGGAATGCCTTGGTGTCGCCAACTGTAGTCCTGACGGTAGTAGTAGATCTACAGTACATATCACGAATCATCCGGATATAAACAGTTGGGAACCGTCTTGATGTTATAATTTTTACGAGTCCTCCAAGGGTGACAGCTGAACTAGTCGAGTGGGACATAAATCCCGCAGACTAAGCTTGATGTTTCTACTTCTGTATTACCAAAATAATAATAATAATATATTAAGGGTTTGAAAGTAGAAGTGGGTTACAAAACGTGGGAGAAAAACTTATAATGTCGTTGGTACGATTTTACGTTAAGGACGAATTTATAATATTTTAAGATGCAAAACTAAATTATCAATAAATAATATACAAAATATTTAAATTATATAAAAAAATTTGAAATATTTATGAGTCGACCATTTGGCCAACCCCTCAACTCATCTATGAATGGATTCAGGGGACAAAGGAGACGGGTCGGGGTAATTACTCCATGAAAATTTAAAATTATTATATATTTTAATTTTTTATATATTTTCTACTAATAATCTGTTTGTAACCTCTAAAATTTTATAAATTCAAATTTATCTCTTAAAATTTTATAAATTCAAATTTATCCCTTAAAATTTTATAAATTTAAATTATCCTAACATTAAATCTTTTGTGTCGGTCGGGATGGATTGACTAATGAGAAAAACAAAAGAGTGCAACGAAGTCTGTAAAAGCAGAGGATGGTGGCATGCTAGAAAGAGACAAGCGAAAGTGAAATTTGCCTATCATAGACAACAAAGGGCATCTTTCTCGTCTGGCCGCCAACTATAATTTCTGGACGTGTTCATACAATAAATTGCTACTATCAAGCATCCTTCAATGTTTGAGATATTTTTATTAAACGCAAACTATTTGAATAGGAAAGGAAATGATATAATTATGGAAGTGGCCGGCTATGAGACAGGAAAAAGGTTGTCTGTATTTTCAAAAATATTATTTTATTTGTTCTTTTAGGAAATCAGCAAAAGCAGAACAGCTTTCGAAGAAAACTCGTTTACCTGTTTCCATTTCCGGGGTTATTAGAGAGATAAGAATTAAAAGATCAGAGCTTTGCAACAACTTACAGATCTGCTGGATTAAATGAGTTGGTTGCCCTTTTGCTTTTCGAAATAAGTAACCCGCCATCGTTTTGGAGTGACCAAGCGGCATTGAATTTTGAATCCTTCAAAGCTCAGGCAGGTGAGTAACAATGGAGTCGGAAACGGCGTCGTCGGCGGATGAGCAGAAACCGTCTGGTTCTGCAGCTGATACCAAAGGCAAGCATCGGATTCTAGCTGAACTTAAGCGCGTCGAACAAGAATCCAGGGGTCTCGAGGTTAGCTTTTGCTTCTTCTTTTTTAACACTTTTTCCAGTAATATTCTGGTTTCCTCCATTAGTATTTGACTGATTTGCTGCTCTTGCTAAGTTTCACCTTGAGAGGTCATATGCGTAGCTTAGCATCTGTTAAATAAACAAGCTTTTTAGCAATGTTGTGCGTTTGCACCTCATGAAACCTATCAAGAGTGCTGCTATTTGCCTCGGTTTATCATTACTGCTTTCTTAGGCAGATGGTGAGTTTAGTATTTGAATCAAACAAGATCTGTTTTACTTTGAGCAATGTTATGCTTTAGTGATTCAAAAAGTTGCTGTGTGTTGATAAGAGTACCATATTACAGTTTAGATGTCTTATTCTTTCGCTCTTCGTGTATTTTTTCTTTTTCCAGGATGAGATGGAAGAGCTTGAGAGAACTGACAATGTTTCAACATTGTCCGAGGAGTAAGTATAAGAATTAAGTTCTCTTTCCAATGAAGTTGCAGAAGTAGAAAGTAGGAGGGCAAGGAGAAGGGGGGGATTTGAATTTAAACGATTTCATCATTTTATGCTTATCGCTCAAAATTGGAATGATAACCGGTTTGATCGGATTTAATCTCTCTTGTTTACTCCTCTCAGGTTGCTGCTTAGCATGGAGTCAAGACCAGATCCACTGCTCCCAGTGTAATTACTTGTATTGTTCTTGCATCTCTTGCTTTACATGAAGTTGCTTTTCCCGCTAATGCTTGTGTTTATTCTGATCACAGAACAAATGGTCTTATAAATCCGTCATGGGATAGATGGTTTGAAGGGCCCCAAGACTCCGAAGGCTGCACATGCCAAATTCTGTGATTTGAGGCAATCTAACATTTGTTGCCAAAACATGTTCAAATGTTACAGCTTAGTTGTTATATTAACAGTTGTTTTGGGGTGGCTCGGATAAAATGTATAATTTACTGTTTCCAATTCTGCTGAAATTTGTACATCGGATACATCTACTGCAGATACGAGCTTCAAAAGAGATCATTCTTGTCGCCATTTTGCCCCCTTTCCCAAGCTATATCCATATTTTACCTGATTATAAACTGTATGAACTTGTTTCAGGACAGTAAGAGATTAATTTAACGAAGAGCCGAAATAAGGCAGCATTTCTGCAAAAGCAGTCTGAAATCTATTCATGAAATGAAGAGTCCATTGTGTTAACGTTCACAAGATCAACTCATGCTTATGCAGTCATTTCCACATCAGATCGATATTACAAAAGCAAAATGACATTCAAGTTATTCAGTCAAATCAACCTTGATAAGGCAAGATTTCATGTCATTAGCTCTAAGCTTTAACAAGTAAAACTCAGTCCCCCCAACAATTTATATACAGTTGGGAAAGTTAAGATGCTACCTGCAAGAGATTTAGTTGCAATAGCTCTCATATCTCGAAATTGTCACTGCTTGAGCAGTTCCATAACAGACACATGCATGATCAAAGAGCTTGAGTAGACAAAAGGTATCTGAGCAGGAGTAGATGTTCTTCGTCTGAAATGTTTAGGCTGAAGCAGAGATTTGTTAGCAGAGACTCCTTTGCCCAAGCTAAAGGACCTGAAGACAACAATGCCTCCACTGTTGACTTGTAAGCACGATGTTCTAGTTTATGCATATCGTATACTTTGTCCACAGGAGACAAGGGTAAGTCTCTTTTGTAACACAAATAAGGGAATGCTGAGTCAGCATCGGAATTGTCAGGTGCATTGTCCAACGATTTACGAGAGGTTTGGCCAACATAATCAACGTTTAAACTACGGCTAGCAACTGAGCATTGGTCACTATCTTCAGTTGACCAGACAGGACTAGATGAATCATGAAAACAGTAAGGAGTTGTGTCTTGCATTCTGCCATTCCTGTTAGTTGATTGCTTAATGAAGTTCTCATCAACCCCTACATGCGAGGAAGAAATATCATATACCTGTTTCAACAATGGAAGCGTTCTGTCAGGAGTTACATCACAGCCTCCAGAACATAGAGCTGATTTCTTTTCTTGAAGGTTTTGCATTCTCCATAATGGCGGGCAAAACCCTTTGCTCGTATGCGCAGACAAGTCGCGATATTATGAGCCTCACCCTTATGTTTTCCCCCCTCTATCTCTTGCTCTAAATCGCATAGTTTCACCAAAATGCAATGAATTCCTGAAATGCAAGCCGTCAGCTACGAAAGGAATTTTTGGAGCTACACTGTCAGCCAATATTTTGTTCTCAGCAACCTGCAATTGTATGTAGTCTGGTTTAGAAATACTGGTTGGTACAACACATTAATTAAGAACTAGTATGAAGTTCATGTTATATTATGGAAAGGAAATAGCAGTGACAACGAATTTGAAAGAAACATTGTACTAACAGAGTAATAAGACTTATGAATGAGGGGGGAAAAACAATATTTAAGGCGGCAAGCATGACGAATATAAGAAAGCCATCACCTTCCCCGTCACTATCCACTTGTTGCCATGCCAAGCCTGCCTAGTCCTTAAACTCGATGCATGAATTTCCTTAAGTTGGATGGATCCAAAGTACTTAATGACAACTCGGTTGCCGATGTTTAACACCTTCGCAACCATTGCTACCCCCAACACTGAATATCAAACACCTCAGCTATATCCCTAACTGCCCAACTCTTACCATTTACACTTGGAGGCAGGGGTCTAACATCCTTCCCTCGCACCTTCTTCGTGACTCATTTTACTTCGTGGTACTCGACCAGTTTGTACCCAACAATATAGTTGTCACCATCAGCTGAAAGTATCTCACCGGTAAAGCAGGAGCCGCATGGATCGTGTTCTCTTCTTAACACCTCCACCAAGTTCCCTTTTCTGAACTTCATATCGTTCCCACTCCAATATGCTTAATCCTGGATAAGAGTAGTAAAAAAAATGAAAATAGAATTAATAACATAAACGTGAAAACCATGATATCTGAAGGTGTTATTATAAGGGTCAAGATAGATGGTTGAAAATCTATGGTGTGAGAGCAGATCCAGAGGGTTGAAACTGTCGACAGTCATTTTCGTCCGAGCTTACATATTTATTATTATTATTATTATTATTATTATTACAAATAATACATAGAGGTCCAATTGAAAACAGAATTCGGAGCCCCATTTATAGTAGACCCGATCCAGGCCCAAAACAAAGCCAGGCCCAGATAACCCAGCAGGCCCAAAACTCGTTTAGGATTTTCTTCTAGGGTTTTCTCATCTTCTCCAACCGCCAGCTACCTCAATTGTTGGATCTGGTGAGATCCAACACCCCAGATTCGTCCAGTATAAACCCTAGGGAAACCCTAGGGGCTATTCCGACCGCCACTCCGATGTTGCCACACTACCACCGCCTCACCAGAAGACTCCAGAAGATGCAAGGTTCACCGCACACCTCACAGCCTTAGGGTAAGTCACCATCATAGCTCCGGTGACTCACCGTAGCTTCATCATTGCGAATGGCTCTTCGAGGCCTATAAAAGTTCATTGATCCTGCAAGAGAAGGAACACAGACAGAGAGAGATACACAGATAGACAGGGAGACAGAGACGAAAACACACGGCAATGAAAAAAAGAGAGAAAAAGAGCAATACGAACAAATACAAGCAACGATCCACAACAACCAGTAGACAACCGAAAGAAAAAGAATGGAGAGAAGACTTACCACGGTCGTCGGAGCCTCCACGTGCCATCGGAGAACCGAGACATCGAAGGTAAAATTGGTAGATATACGTCACTAGGATAATTTTCGGTTGAAAACAAGGTCTGATTAGTGTTTGTAGGGTTTAGAGCTTTATTTTGGTGTATTTTTGTAAATTTCAGCCACCGTGACAGTGGTCGATAGAGGCTGTCGACACCGGAAGATGGTGGCCAACATTCCCTCTGTTGAGGGAGTTTAGAGAGAAGGGAGAACTGCTCTCTCCTTAGAGAGAGAAGCAACAAGAGGGAAATGAGAGAACATGGCCTAAAAGGCCGGTTAAGGGTATATTTATACCCTCCCTGAACGGTGTCATTTTGGGAGGGGTATCTGTGTAATTTACTAATTGATAAACCCCGTCTGTAGTCCCTGTAATTTGTATGCTTTTCATTTTGGTCACGAAATCAGGTTTCTAATCATTTAAATTTGGTCTTCATATTTTATTTTATTATATTTTAGTCCCTGCTAGCATTTATATATATTTAGGGTAAATATCATATTTAGTCCTTAGATTTTAATAATTTAGATTTTAATATGAATAGTAAATAGGATAAATCATACTAATAGTACCTAGATTTCATAATATTTTGAATTAGGGCCATTAATTTAGATATTTTGCAAATTAATCCCTATAATTTTGTTTTTTTTCGGGTTATATTATTTTGTACAATAAATTATAAAAATATTTCCTTAACTTATTAGGAATGTATTTTAAATGATTTGTTGGTATAAAGTAATATCCTTAATGTATTTTTATGGGATCATAAATTAAAATAAAGTTCAAATTTGTAAATTTATTTCAAAGACAAATAATTAAAAAACAAGGTACCAATTTTGGACGTTGTGGGGGTGTTGATCATTCCCCACACGTAACCGACTCCCGAACTCATTTTCTGGTAAATATACCATTTTTGTGTTGTTTTATTAATATTTTTTTTAAATTATATTAAAATAATTAAGCATTTTGGTGACAAATCACACCTCGATAAATGATTGGTGACGACTCCTCAAATTTTGTTTTATCTTATGCAAGAAGAAAAACACTTACTTTCTCGAGACGAGATTTAGAAAACAACGACACTTGTTTTCGCCAGACCGTCTTGACAGAAACTTCATGTTCAATTTAGCTTTATGGAAACTTCAATTTTAAAAAGATGATATCAGTAATCTTGAATAACTCCTTGAACCAGAATCAAATCTAAATCAATTAATTGAAAACAAGGGGACTTACAAATGAAATTGATTCTACAAACAGGGATATTCTACTACCAAACCCAGATGAACTCTTCAAAACATGGGGATCATTCTACGATTCTTCCTCGTTGCGTTTCATTGTACGGAAGGGATGGGTTTAACAAATTTTAAATCCAGAACAGACTTCACCTCAAGTCAAAGAACCAGGATCTATAAAGGTCATAGGTATATTCTTCTTCTTCTTCTTCTTCATTTTTTTTTGAAAGAGTCATAGCTATCTTCATCTTTTCCTTCTTATCCTATTCTATCAAAACTTCATTAAAAGATTTATGTAGTCCATTTTTTAGTTCTTCATCGACTTAGGTATTAGAGAATATAATAAAGTCTCAAATTATATGCCTCTTAACTTATTTTACTCTTATAAAATTCTCCAAAAATTATTTCAACCTTCCCAAAATCGATATAAGAAACACTAACATAAATTATTTATTATTACACAAATAACTACACGAACCAATTTATCTCAGTACTTAAAGGAATCGATGTTCTTCTTATAGGTCAGAAGTTCGAGTACCAACGACTGTGGCATGATGATTAATCGTTCATTGTCAAATTGTTGAGAGTATTTAAAATAGATATTACTTTGTAATCACTTTAATTTAATAAAAAATTACACCAACAACTAATTGTTAATTCCTATTAAATCACGAAAGAATCTCTTTATTATTAAATATTTTTATTGAATATTAGATTTTTAAAATTAAAAATAATCACTCAACCTTAAAAAAAATAGAAAGTTAATTATTCTCCATCAATGTTTTAACTGGTGATTGATGATATGTCGGGTAATAAATATAACAACATATTTAGCCATCAACTTTTACATTTTATTTTAAATTAGTTTTAATTTTAATAATAACCTTTAATATTTTGTTATACGTACTTAGTCCTTATTCTAATTTATTTTTTTAATTTTTTAATTTTTTTAATTTTTTTCTCCCGTCTGTAAACCCGCATCAAAGGTATTATTCTACGAAACTTGCAATGACTTCTTTAACCCTTCCGTCTTTGAAATCTCCTCCATCATTGTTAGCATCTCTTATGAGTATGTCGTCGTGGGTTTTGAATAGGGATGTAATAGATCGGATTGGGTTGGATTTTCGGTTTATTAGATCCAATTCGAAAATTATGGATTGGGTTAGATTTTCGGTTTATTAGATCCAATTCGAAAATTATAAATCTGTCATCCGACTCGAATCTAACTCGAAAAACATACATCTTTCATCCGATCGAACACAACTTGATTTTTTTGAGATAAAATTCGAGTTCGACTCAACCTGAAATAATATAATTATTAAAAATATTATTTTTATTCAATAAAAATATATATTTAACTGTAAGAAAATAATATAAATGAGCATTATTGTAATTATCTTTAAATATATAAGGTAAAATTATAAATTTTTAGGTTGGGTGGTATATTTTTACCTTAAATTCGAACCCGACTCGAACCGAAATTTTTTTTAAAAAAAATCCGATCGGGTCGAATCGAGTTGGAAGTCAGATTCAGGTCTTATGACATTCGCTAGTTTTGATGACGAAAGAGAGTAGATATAAAAAATAAGTTAGACAAAAATTAAATTTAAAAAAAAATTAAATATTAATTAATTTTTAAAATTAAAATTAAATTAAATTAAATATGTACACATTAAAAACTATACATATTATTATATTAATTTTATCAACAATTAAAAATTAATTAACGAAAGAAAAGCAATTTATTACTTAGAACTTTTGAGACTACGATATTCCCCATTAATACCTCACTTCTAGAAGGATAAGGAGTAGGGTTTTAAAATGAGACGAGATAGATAGTGAGTTATGTGATATCGATATGGTCAATGTTCGATAAATATTCGGTTAGAATGAATTCGATTCGAGTTCTTAACAAGTTGAAACGAACTAGTTGATACTTGAATTGAAAAGCTCCCAGCAACTCAAAAAATTATATATTGAAATTTTATTTTTTTAAAAACAAATTATTATTAATATTAACGTTTATGTGTGTTTATTTAAAAAATGTTGCAGAAGATTTTCATGTACTTAAGGTTCGGGTTCAAGTTTCAGTTTCAACC